TGAGGCAAGAACCTGAGAACTCCTGCCAACAGGTGGTGTGAGTACATCATCTTGGAAAAGAATATTTCAGTCCCAGTCAGACCTTCAGCTGACTGCAGGCTCCTGAGACCCTGAGCCTGAACCACCCAGCTAAGCTGCTCTGGGAATTCCTTACCTACCAAAACTAAGTGAGTTAATAAATGTGTATTGTTGTTTTAGGCCTCTACTTTTTGAGATTACTTGTCGTACAGTAATATGTAACTAACAGGGATACAGTAAAATATCAATATCAATAGTAATTATCTATATATGGTAGGATTACAAGTGAATCTTAGTATCATTGTCAGATTTGAAGTTTTGATGTTTTGGCAAAGAACATATGCTTAAATCTCCACATTATCTTTCTCTCTTTGGTCAATTCTTCTAACCTGCTTTTCCAGAGCACTCAGTTTAGTCCCATGCACCAAACTCTGAGTCTTTTGGCTGGTCTACACTGTGATGCCTCCCTTGGTGTCAAATTTTCTCTTCTCCAGGCAATCCACAAGACTAATATATGCGTAGTTCATTCCCAAACACCACGATACTAAAGAAAGAAGTCAGACCGAATTCCTGAGAGCTGGGTATGTCATTCTCTAGGACCCAATGTCTCTTTCTTTTTTTACTTTTATTTTTTTAAAGCATATTTCATTGATTGGCTATTACAGTTGTCCCATTTTTCCCCCCTTAACCCTCCTCTGCCCTGCATCCCCTCTCTCACCAGTACTCCTCCCCACCTTAGTTCATGTCCATGGGTCATACATAAAAGTTGTTTGGCGTCTCCATTTCCTGTACTGTTTTTTACATCCCCCTGCCTATTTTGTACCTACCAATTACACTTCTTATTCCCTGTACCTTTCCCCCCATTCTTCCCCCTCTCCCTCTTCCTCCCCACTGATCTCCCTCCATGTGATCTTCATTTCTGTGATTCTGCTCCAGTTCTAATTGTTTACTTAGTTTTTTTTTGTTTTTGTTTTTTAGGTTCAGGTGTTGATAGTTGTGAGTTTGTTTTCATTTTACTGTTCATAGTTTTGATCTTCTTTTTCTTAGATATGTCCCTTTAACGTTTCATATAATCAGGGCTTGGTGATGGTGAACTCCTTTAGCTTTACCTTACCTGGGAAGCACTTTATCTGCCCTTCCATTCTAACTGATAGCTTTGCTGGATAGAGTAATCTTGGATGTAGGTGCTTGCCTTTCATGACTTTGAATACTTCTTTCCAGTTCCCTCTTGCCTGTGAGGTTTCTTTTGAGAAATCAGCTGATAGTCTTATGGGAACTCCTTTGCCTTTGAACAGATTTCCCAGAAGCGGATCTCAGAGAAGGAGAGGCTCCCAAGAGAAACTAGTAAGAAAAGAGCAGAACCTAAGAGAGGGTTGATTTTAGGCTTCAGCCTGATTCCATAGGGGAGTTCTGGAGCATAAATTGTACCTCCAAGTTGGTTCCTGCTCAAAACATAGGAGCTGGGTGTTCATACTCCAGCACTCGTCAGTCAAGAAATAAGCCCCAGCTCTGACTGGTGTGGCTTAGTTGGTTGGGCACCATTCTGCAAAGCAAAAAGTCACTGGTTCAGTTCCTGGTCAGGGCACATGCCTGGGCTGTGGTTTCGGTCCCCAGTCAGGGTGCCTGCAAGATCAATGCTTCTCTCTCACATCAATGTTTCTTTTTCTTTCTCCCCACTTTCCCTCTCTCTAAAATCAAATAGATAAAATTTTTTTTTAAAAAAAGAGTTTAAGAAAAAAATAGAAATAAGCTCCTATCCTCTCTGTGCTTTTAGGCAGAGCAGTTCCAGTGGCCCAAAGAGACATAGAACAGTCTTCTAAAGAGAATGTAAATGTATGTCACTGGAAGCAAAAGCACAGAGAAGCCAGGAGAGTGATGTGCAAAAATAACCAATGGTAATGAGAGGAGTGTGAACTCCTTCAGGTAAAATAAAGTCACATAAAAACAAAACAAAACTATATATATTTTCAGGGTTTCTTTTCTTTTTTTTTTTTTTTTTTGCCTTATTGTTTTTCCAAGAAAGCTACTAAATTAATTTTTTCAAAAATGGTCAATGGGACCCTGGGGCATCTGGGATGGGGGAGAAGGGGAGACACTGACAATGTCCATAACATCCCATGTAGGCATTTAAGATATTTCTTACAAAGCTCACAGCCACTAAGTGCAGAGGGTAGGGAGGTGGGAAATGAGATGCTTGGAAAGAAGACTACTTAGAAGGTAATGAAAAAGTCTGGGTGAGGTTGATAAATTAATGCTATGGCAGTGGGGGCAGACATGAAAAAAACATAGCCTTCTACCATCCCACCAGACTGGTAAAACCCTGCTATGTGAGCTTGGAAGAGGTGAAATATCTATCACAGTTCCTTTCTATTATTTAATTTTTTCAACTACCAAGTCTTCCTCTCTGGGCATCAGATACCTCACCTATGAAATGGGTCAATTATGATAATAGTGAAAAATAATAGTAGTAGTAACATTTATTGAGCATTTTACTGTGATGAAGGTACTGACTGTTCCCCAAACTTTACAACTGTTACTCTTAACCCTCACAGCAAACCTATGAGGTAGGCACAATTACTGTCTCTATGTAACAAATGAAGACACTGAAGCTCAGGAAGGGTAATTTGCCTAAAGTCTCATAGCTAGTACCTGTCTCAAGATTGTTGGGAAGGTTAAATGTTTGCATCCCTTGGACCTTACCTTCTCAGTGTGCTCCTACAGACTCACCTGCCCGCCAGTGTGGTTCCATGCCCAAGACCCTGACCGATGGGGAAGGTGCTGGAAGCACTCGCCACAGGCCCTGCAAGGATAGTGACTGCCACCCAGGAGCTGGCCCCACCCAAGACTCCCAGGAAGGGGTATCTTAACATCCCGACTTCGCACCCATCCTTCTTTTTCTGGTGGGATAACTGAAGGGTACGAGTTCTTTGCTGGTTCCCAGTGCTTCTCAGCGGGATTTGGCTCCAGGTGCCCACAGTAGTAATTGTTGGGATGAATGACCAATTCCTAGCTGTCTTCCTTTCCCTCTCTCACTTCCTCACTCCCTACTTAGTGTTTCCCAAGTTCACTTCTCAAACCACTTGCACCCAAATCTTTATCTCAGAGTTAAGCACAATTTTAAAAATTGGTTTTCAATTTCCTGAGCTGGTGAAGAAGGAGGCGCCAACATGGGAGTCTACCTCCTCCACCTCAAAGACCAAAAGGTTCGGTGCAAGGAGCACAGGAGCTGTGACAGGTTTCTAGCCAGGTGAACCAACTCCACCTTCAAAATGTGATGCTGAAGAGTTTGTTCATGACTAGCGCCAGCTGGCTGCCTCTGTCCCTTTTCCAGATGATCCAGAAGACAGGCAAAACCACTGTGTTTGTGGGACTATAATCAACGACACGCGCAGGTAGAAGGTGGCCAAACTGTCCCTGGACTCTCCCAAAGACTCTGGCACAGTCCTGCTTTCTGGTCCTTAAAAGAGCTGAGAGGTATACAAGCATTTCTGCAAGTCCTAAGGAATCCCCCCCAACCACACCAAACCCTAGCTACCTCCCAAGGCCAAAAGTTCAAGGCCGCTAGAGGCTGACAGGCCAGAGCCTCTATGAAAGGTAACCCCAGATCCTACCTTGTTATTAAAAAGATTTTGGATGCTGGGGAAAAAAATGTCATTGTCAAGATTTAAAAGTTGGGAGATTTTACATTAGAATCTGGATTTCATGCTTCTCTTGAAAAATCAGAAGTCCTGGCAATGCCTCTGTTCTGGCATGACCGCAGTCTTCAGGGCTGGAGCTGAGGGTCTCACCCCAACAGGGGGCAGGGGTGAGGTCTTTCTGCCACTTGCCAGCCCCCCACAGTAGACCCCTCATTTATTTATGGCTCCTCCCTAGTCCTAGCAGGTGACTGAATTTGAAACTCCTCATTTGGGCCCTCATTAAGTATTTGGGCACTCACTGAAGTATTTCTGAACTGCTTAAAGTTGAAATGTTAATTCTGCCCTGACTAATGTGGCTCAGTGGTTTGGGCATCATCCCACAAACTGAAAGGTCACTGGTTCAATTCCCAGTCAGGACACATACATGGGTTGCAGGCCAGGTCCCTGGTTGGTGGTGTGTGAGAGGCAACCAACGGATGTCCCTCTCATACATTGATGTTTCTCTCATACATTGTTGTTTCTCTCTATTCTCTTTCTCCTTCCCTTTCCCTCTCTCTAAAAATAAATAAATAAAATCTTTTTAAAAAAATACTAATTCTGATTCAGCAGATCTGAGTGCAGTTCCAGAGCGTGCCTTTCTTACAAACTTCCACGTGATGCTGATGTTCTTGGTCTACAGACCATTCCTTGAGGAGCAAAGGTGTAGTCCCTCCCCTCCCCAATTAATCTTGCACATTATTATGCCTTTATTTTTTTAGAATGCTAAGTAAGATTCCTGTTTAAAAAATGCCATTGTTTGTGAAATACCCATGGCAGTTCCGTTTTGCTATTTAATTTTTTCAACTACAGAATCTTTTGGTTTCCCAAACACAGTGCTATTGCTTGGATCCCCAGTGCACAGTATACAAGTGAGATAGAACAGGGGTGCTATGGAGGTTGAAGAGCTGCCTTTGGGAAATGCAGCCCTAAGTTTCCCCCCACCCAGCTGATCCCCAGATCCCATGGCCAAGCCATGGGAATTTAAAAATCCACAGAACTCAACGGAAAAATCAGAGGCCACGTTCTGGTATTCTAAGGCTTTGGGGATTAAGTAATTTGCTAGAGGTCTCACAGCTGCCAAGTCCTGGATTTCCCAAACCCACTGGATATTCTGGTTCAATGACACATTTACAGCCTTTCCTCTGAACACCCAAGCCAAAGTCTCCACTTAACTGCAGGCTTTCCACACCCTGGTATATTTCAGCCTCAGCTCCTCTGGGGACTCTGTTCCTACTGCCTCTCCTTGTCCTTACCTCTCCTCTACCCGCAAGCAATCTTTTAAAACAGGGCTAAAAAGGAGCAAGAATCGCTTCTTAGCCTTTTGGCTAAGATCAAGTGTACTATCTGTTCTTATCAGTATAATATCTGGTACATCCTCTATCTGAAGATGACACATTCAATAGATTTTTGGAGCAGGGAAATGGACTAGGAGCTTGCTGGGTCCACTCCAAGCATCAACCCAGAAAGCAGTAATTTCGGGAAGGGTGCACAAAAGAAAAAAAAGGTAGCTAGAAAATGTCTGTGTCTTTTCCTCCTCCCCTGCCCTGTAATTCTCTCCAAAATGCTGTATTTGGCCAAGGGTGGAAGACCAGGTACCTGCAAGGTACAATTCTACCTCCTTGACCTGGCTTCCAGGCCTCCATCACATGGCCTTGGCCTCTGCCAAGTGAGTGTCCTGCCTTATCTCCCAGCCCAGCCAGGAAAACCTCTGCTCTGCGCACTTGGTATGACCTTTGCCTGAAATCACCCTTAGTGCTCCTGTCTGCCCTGAGGACCTTTGCTATTTAATGAGCTTTTTAAAGTTACAATGAAAAGTCTTTAATGAGTGTAACTAGTATTTAAGAAATGACCAGCTTCTCCCCTATGTCTTTTTGAGTTTGGGGCTCATAAAAGCATCTTTTTTCTTTGCCCTTTTCCCTGTCTTCCCAACACTGACCGGGCAGGACAGATGAGCAGCTCTCCATCAAAGCTTTGAACTCCTTATGTTAAACTATATGTTTGGAAGATGACAAAGTAGAAAATTACCTGGAAAGATAACAACTACCAAAAATTGTTCATGAAATAAAAAACTCAGACTTATTAAACATTAAATAAATTGAATTTCATACCCTGGTTGGTGTGGCTCAGTGGACTGCGTACCAACCTGCAGACCAAAGGGCACATGCCTGGGTTGCAGGCCAGGTCTCCAGCTGGGGACTGGCAAGAGCCAACCGATTCATATTTCTCTCGCACACTGATGTCTCTCTCCCTCTCCTCTCTCCTTTCCCTCTCTCTAAAAAATAAATAAAATCTTAAAAAATAAAGAAACTGAATTAGAATAAGAAATTTTAGTCACAGATCACTGCACCAAATCCAGTTGTCCTCACAGACACGTTTATCACCTTCAAGGAACAGAAAATCTCTGTGTTCCTCAAACTAAGAAACAAGCTTCAGTAATTTATAAGAGGCTAGACAGTAGCTACTGATAGTGTAACACTGATCCCAAACAAGAAAGGACAGCAAAAGAAGAAAACTGATAGCTCAGTTTCACTAATATAGATGTAATGATTATGAGTAAACCATTAGCTAAACAATTGCAGCAATGTTATTGAAACCACACTGAAGACAAACTACCAAGCAGTGTTTATCTCAGGAAGACAAGGATGTCATTCATTAGACCATTAGAAAATAGCAATATAATTTACTCAGCTGCAAAAAAGAAGCAAAAACCAATGGAAATCTCCATGAATTCAGAAACAAACAAATGATAACTTCAAATTCAGTAACCATTTTATGAAAACACTTCCACTTCTTGTTTGGGTTTCCTCAGAAGCAGACCCTCACAATTATTCCACCAGAGTTCGGGAGGGAGCTGGGGGATCCACATTCCATTTGCCTAGAGAAAGTCATCACTTGAGAACGGATCCTGGAGCTCTGACTCCCTAGCACAGCCAGCTTTCCCTTCACTGCGGAGAGCAGTCTTCCTAGATTTTGAAAGGGCCTGGGGAGGCCTCAGGCCTGGAGACACAGCGTAGGCATTTGAATGTGGGCCCAGTCACCTCGAATGGTCTAAGATATGGATAGGGCATACTTAACACACTAGAAACAGAAGAGAATTCCTTTCACCCATTTTTGGTTAAGAGTTTTACTAAAAACAAAACTGACTCTCATTCTTAGTAGTGAATTGTTCAAAGTATTCTCTTTAAAGACAGAAACAAGGATGTCCTCTGTCCGTAGTTTTGTTCACAAAAAAAGAAATATTTAAAGAAAAAGAAGAAAAGTGAAAGCCTTGGAAAGAAAAGAAGACAAAACCAAAACCTGTCATTATCTGCAGATATTATAACTTCAGGATCTTCAGGGAAAATCCTGGAGAATTTTATAATATGGAATTACTAGTTGGGTAATGCTGTATAACAAGTTATTTCAAAGTCTAGCAGATGAAAACAACAAACACTTATTATTTCACACACTTTCTGGGGATTAGAGGTCGAGGAGTGGCAGAGTGGTTCTGACTCAAGGTCTCTCATGAGGTTGCAGGCAAGTTGTTGGCCAAGGCTGCAGTAATATGAAAGGAGGAAAATCCACTTTCAAACTCACCCTCCTGGTCATTGGCAAGAGTCCTCAGTTTTTCACTATACGGGCTGTCCAAAGATGGCGCTGCTTACACAACATGGCTGCTGGTGTACCCCAGAGAGAGTGATATGGAAAGTGAGAGAGCCTAAAAACCCAGGATGGAAGACATACTCTTTTTATAATAGTCTAAAATCAAAAGAGACATAGCCCCACTACTACCATAGTCCATTCATTCAAAGTGAGTCACTATGTCTAGTCCATACACGGGAGAGAGCTGTGCTGTACAATAGCCTGACTATCAGAAGGCAAGATTACTGAGGGTCCATTAAGAGGCTATGTACCACAGTACATGAAAGAGCCAAGTTATAAATATATAGAAAACGGAGTGGGCTCTTCAATAAATGTGACTGGGACCATTGGTAAGCCAGATAGAAAAAGCACCAATCAGACCCCTAGCTCATACCACTCTCAAAACAAATTCCAAGTGGTTTGAACACTTAAAATTAATCGAAAAGAAATATTAAAAGTAAAACTTTCAAAAGAAAATATTGGAGGGTTATCTCTTTTTCTTTTCCTATTTTATTTTGAGAATATGCTTATTAAAGCTCCAGACAGTGAAACAAGAATGAGTTTAGGATAAAAGAAGCAAGCAACAGGCTCACTGCAAAGTCAAAGAGGGCCTTGGAGACAGGCTCCGGGGGTTGGCCCAGGACAGCCTGCCACTGCCTATCGCTCCCCTGGCTGCAAGTCTCTTGGAGACACTTACAGTTTAGAAGATGCACGCCTACGAGGGAGAAGAGACGTGGCCCTGCTCCCAGGAAGGAGAGCAAGCTTGGAGGATCATGTATACGTTAGCAGAACATCTGAATTATGTTTATAATTAGTTTTATATTAGCTGAACTTATTGTGGTAATCATTTCACAATATGGGTAAATCAAACCACCATGCTTTAAATTTATACAGTGTATGTTCATTATTTCTCAATAAAACCAGAAAAAGAGAAATTACACTTGGGAGATACAATTTGAAATGTATTTAATTGAGTAATAATTGGTGTTCAAAATCTTTTTTAAACCTACAAATAAGGAGGAAAATGAAACCAGAAAAGCTGGTGTTCGTGCTGTCACCTACCAGACCCAATAAGCCGAGACAGGGACTGAATCTTTACAGGTGTTTTATTCAGATGGCAGGTGATCTGAGAAGACAGTGGGTTTGTACCCTAACAGATAATCTTAAATTCTATTTTCAACCGATCTTTCTTATAAGGCGAAGAAAAGTGTAGGCAGGGGGATTGGATTTCAGGGAGAAGGTTAATCAGATAAAAACCTGCAGCATTCTTTCATCTGTGCCCCGGGGGGAGGGGGTGTCTTTATCGGTGTCCAGGACAGTGGGCGTCTCACCCTGGAGTACAAAGGCTCAGAATGCGTCTTGATTGCTTGAGACCTCCTGAGGCACAAAGGTGGAACTGCTTCTGGTCTCCTGGAGTCAACGTGGATCATATCTTCAGTTCCTGAAACAATAGCTTTTTACATACATTGATTACTAAGGATATTAGCTCTTGCCTGTAGCTAAAATTTTTCCAACATGAGCCCCCCATCAAAACAACACACAACCCAAAAAAAGAAAAGAGGCAAAGGAATGATTTCTTTGACCAATAAACATATAAACATATAAAACATGTAACATATAAAATGAAGCTCATCTTCTTTAGAAAGGAGGAAAATGCATATTAAAATGAGGAGATAACCATTTATATCCATTAGATTGACAGAATTAGCAAGCCTGGCTATTTTAACCATTAGGCGACAAGTAGCAGAAGATCTACATAACAATGACTCACAGACACCAGATTCTTTTTCTCACAAAACAAAAAGTCTGGAGAAGTCTGGAGGTGACTGTGGGCTTCAGTTCAGTAGCTCAACCACATGATTGCAAAGTAGCTGATAAGCCTCCCGGCATCTCCCCAAGTTTTAAAGCCAGAATCAGGGAAGAAAGATCAAATCGAATGCACTGATTGTCTTGGTCAGAAAAGCAAAAGCTTTAAAATCCTTCTGGCCAACTTTTGCTGTACAAAGTATTTCAAACATCAGAAAATGATATAACTCGATGTTCATATATGAGTATGTACCATCAATTCGTAACAAACATTGATATTTGGCCAATTTTATTTCTAATTTTTTCTTTAATAAAACATAAGCGAGACAGTGTCCAGAACTGTTACATGGTTACCCCAGGTCAAAACAAGGGGTGATATAATAAATCAAATTGAAAGTAACCTCACAGGATGATCTGATCAGAAATTCCTAACTTGGCAGGGCGTGGTGGGTAGTCACGCCCCAGGCCTATGCCTTCTTTAGTGAAAGGTTTTTAGGCAAGCCCTGCCCATTGTTCTTGTGCATCTAGGTTACATCCTTGAAACTGCCGCAGTAATCCTCTTTTTCAGACTCCTAGGAGGTGGAAGCCTAACCGTCCTCAATGGAACACATAATCTTGTTAAGCATACTGTAATCCAGTCCCTACCTTCGTTTCTCCCACCTTCAAGTAATCTTCCCTGTGTTCGCTCCTTAATTCCAAATGCATAAAATAAACTGCACGTTGTCATTTCTTGGAAGCACTTGAGATCCTGCTTCCTGCTGACTGTAATCAGTTCGGCTCAAATAAACTCATAAAATTTCTCTACAGGGCTGGATGTTCTTACATCAATATTAGTTTTCCAATATCTCTCATAGGAGAAAGCCACACAGAAAGGGTTAGAATGGGTATTTGGTTAGCCAGCCCACAGTATTTAAAACACCAACACAATCAAATGTGAACGAAGATTTGAAAATAGAAGAAAACTTGCACATGGTTGGCAGAAGTGAAACGGCTCAACCATTTTGGAAAGCAGTTGACAATATCCAATAAATCTAAATATAGGGTAACTGAAAACCCTCTTCTAGATAT